TAACATTCATGTGGGCTGGAAACAAATGTAGCTCAGGACCAGATTTTTTAAACTGAGGATTGAAAAGGCAGATGGGAGAACGGGAAACACATGAAGAGTTATACACATGTGTGCAGAGAGAGGTGAGAACTGAGAAGGAAAATGAATTGGAGAGAAAAGCTTCATTAGACTGAGAGGCAAGCAGTGGCAGTATACCAAGGTCACTTCTAATTTAGACCATCTAATTGGCAAACAGGCTCCAAATGGCTATCATCTCACAGGGCTTGGAATTAATGAACCTCGATTATTTTCATTACCTTCCTCTTAAGATACAGGCAAGGTGAGAGAGCTGGTACCCAGGTGGGTGTGACTATCCCCAGGCCAGTGGCCGCCCTAGAGCCCCAGATGACCAGCCTGTCCCAGAGACTCACAGACACACAGGCACACATGAGGCATAGAGAGTCACAGACACTGATGGAAAAAAAATCACAAGGTTACAAACTATTGGTCTCAAAAGAGATACAGAGAAAAGTGCAGGCAACACAGGGCCAGGAGCATGGAAGGGAAATCTGTGCAGGTAAAAAAATACAGAATAATTAAGAACTACCAAAGGGAGCGAAGACAAAGGGCTAGAGAATATGTTCCTAAGCTGCCCAGGAGCCAATCCCATCTCCACTGTGAGGTCATATTTTGTTAAATGATGAAAGAACAAAGAGAATTTCCCCATATCAGTGCTTCAGGATCCCAGTGGTATGTCCTGTCACTTAGAAAGATAGTGATCAATTAGAATAATTTAAGAGTATTGAAATGCATGGTAGGTGGTCTTTCCTATTCTCATCCAGGGGCCAGAAACATGGGCCCCATGCCTTCCACCCTCCTTTCCTGAAAGAATAGGAAAATAAGGGCACTGAGCAGCAGCTCCTACATCTCTTTCACCAATCTGAAATCTCAGGCTTCTTTGTAAATAGGTGAGAGTTCTTATGTGAAACTGACATTAGGGGCGGGCTGCCCAGCCAGTTGTGGAGGGGCCCTTGTCTCATCTCCCTTAAGCTTTATAGATTTCCTTTTCATATGACGTGTGCAGAGACACTCTGCAGCTCTGTTTCCAATAGGCCAAGAAGAATGAAGTGCTGTGGGTGCGGTCTCCATAGTGGAGGGCCAGCACTGCAATTGTTCCTAGTGGAGAATATTTCTCAAGCCCCCTCATCAGTAAGAAGAAGGGGGCCCATGGAAGACATAGATATGAAATGCAGAGCATAAGCAAGCAGCTGTTTCCATAGCAACAGACATATTAGACACTGCAGGTTCCTGAAAGCTGTCTGATAAGGTATTATTAAATGAAGCCTCCTCAAAACGCACTCCATTTACAACTGAACGGAAAGACGTGTAGAAAGTAATCTGTTTCCATTTATCAGGGTGGAATTTACTTTTAGTGGGACTGAACCGAACTCAAGCTAAATCCTGAGACTTTGGACCCAGACAGCAAAAAATATTTACCAGAATTTATAGCTGTAAATAGCCCGGACACACCCCATGTCTGCCAGGAATCATCTGTTTGGGAGATTTTGCAAGCTTTTCCTATTCTGCAGCCAACGGCAACTAACTCAGTCAACCCATTTGGAAAGAAAGAAGATTCACTCCTCTTGCTGCTATTCATCCTAGCCACTCAGGGACAAAGCAGACATAACTTTCTTCTCCTGGAGGATGAATGACCGTAGAACTGGCCATTCCTTAACGATATGGTTTAGAAAATGGAGCCCTGATTAGAGGGGCATTTTTCATCATGCTGTTTTCAGTTTCCTGCTCTAGTTGGCCATGAACAAACAGATATATCGTTAGAGAGCCTAACCAATACTTTCCCAGGGCCAATTTTCTAACAAAATGACAGTAAGATACCCTCCCGTGACATGATTTTAACCATAGGTTCATTATAATCACTTAGTTTTAAAACAATTGCAAATTCCATTTTTATACCAAATTTTCCAGAGGAAAGACACTGGCATCTGCTTTGATTCATCAGGGCAGAGACCAAGATCATCAGTATTCCAGTCCTCAAACAGGATCTCGGGTTCACCTTGTGGTAGGCCCACAAATTCCTTCTAACAACCCTGGTTGCTCATTTTTTTCCTGCTGAACTAAAGGACTGAGATAGAAATGCATAATTTGGCTCAATGCAAACTATCCCCATGACTGGACAGACCAGTTCAATACTGACAGCCATGCCATACCTCCATCTTCCCATGGATGGATCCTTGCATATACATCTTTTGGGAAAAATAACTTTCAACTTTATTCCTGAATCCATTAACTTTCTCTTGTTGCTAACAAATTGACTTCCTATTACCAGTGCATTTCCCACAACCTGCATACTTCTCAGAAATGTCTAGAAAACATTTCCATGGTCTGCTATGGAAAGATTAGGCACATAGGGGTTTCTATACAAGGTACCAAGCACAGCAGTGCTTTAGGGAGCAGTGTCTCCTACATAATTACATTGTCAGGGGTTCTAGAACAGTTTTTATTCGCCAGTCCCATGGATATATCCTTATGCTCCCTGGCATTGTACACACAATTTTATATTTGCAAAATACTTAATGGAGGGTCAGTAACAGTGGTTATCAAACATTGGTGTGCAAAGAATAACCCAGTATGGCTGTTGTATAGCTTTCATGAGAGTCTCCATAAAGGTTAAGGATCACTGCTTCCAAAGGTGCTAGTTAATGGGTAACTTCCAGAAATATCTTAGGGATTGATACCCAAGCAAACACAGAAGTAATATCCTGCCCTTGAAGACTCTGTTGGTAAATGAAGATTCACAATGACTACCACACTTGCCACTTGAAATTTACCTTGCTATTGCTGTTATGAAAATATGACAAACAATGAATATTTGAAATATAAGTTATACTCTAGTCCCTAGAGATATATAAATGAAGTTTTTACTGTCTAATGTAAACCAGTCATGCAGATTACTATAGGCTCAGTCCCTAGACTAGATTTATATTAAAATAGCAAAAACAATCACCTAAGTAAAAGAAAAATGTAGGTCAGTATTGACAATGCTTCCCTCCCCACATCTCTTTCTGTTCCTTCAGGCTCCCATGGTTCTAGTCCATCAACTGGGAAGTACAACGAGGCCTGTTACTTCCAAGGCTGATGAGAAAGCTGTAACACAGAAACCCACGGGTCCACAGAAGGAGGTTATCACTTACACAGAATCTTTACACAATGTTCATCAGCTGATTTGAAAATACCCACAGAAAGTTAATTTATACTTGAAAGACCTCTGAAAGGCAACTCATGCTAGGTCACCTTTGAGCTTCCCATTGGCTGCTAAGGTTCTCTTGATGCATCATCGATTATATGTTCTTCACGACTAAACATCACTTACAACATTATTCATTAATTTTTGCAGAACCAAATGGAATAGGAAATGCCTAGAAGTGACATGTCTGTGACCTGCACATTATAATGTACAGTTGTGAACAGACTACCTCTCTGGGAATCTTCACATGAAACGGCAATCAAATTAACTTCTTATTACTCCACTGCTAAAATAATGCTAAGGAAGAGGTGAGAATAGTTCTTTTTGGTGGTTTTTCCTCTAATGATCAGGAAAGGGCTTTGGTGTTTTTTGTTTGTTTGTTTGTTTGAGACGGAGTCCCGCTCTGTCGCCCAGGCTAGAGTGCAGTGGTGCAATGTCAGCTCACTGCAACCTCTGCCTCCCGGGTTCAAGTGATTCTCCTGCCTCAGCCTCCTTAGTAGCTGGGATTTCAGGCACCTGCCACCATGCCTGGCTAATTTTTGTATTTTTAGCAGAGACAGGGTTTCGCCATATTGGCCAGGCTGGTCTCAAACTCCTGACCTCAGGTGATGCGCCTGCCTCGGCCTCCCAAAGTGTTGGGATTACAAGCGTGAGCCCCCACGCCTGGCCAGGAAATGACTTTCATAACAGCACCAGCATAGTCAAAAGTAGGACATCACCATCACCGGCGCTATTTTGAAAAGTTTTCATATTACAGTTAGATTTACATCTTTACACTAATTAGGCCATGTTTATAGTGGTCACTCAGGGGCATGCTTTCAAAATCTGCAGTTGTAGCAATATCATGTTCAAATGCAAAACCCACATTCACGAATCAGCAAATCCAGCTCAACATTTTCTTGCTTTGAAAATCAAAGTATCCACTGAGAAACTCCTCCATTACAGGGCTACCCCTAGAGTTGGAAATTGCGGGTTCAAATTTCATCTCTGCTCCTTACAAATGGCATCAAGTCAATTAACATCTTTGAGCCTCAGCTTCCTTATCTGCTGATGGTAATGTGCCAAAAAATTTTCTTTTCCTTTTTTAAAGAGATAGAGTCTCCCTCTGTTACCCAGGCTGGAGCGCAGTGGCCTGATCATAGCTCACTGCAACCTCAAACTCCTGGGCTCAAGTGATCCTCCCAACTCAGCCTCCCAAGTAGCTAGGATTACAGGTGCATGCACCACCATGCCTGGCTAATTTTAAAATATGTTTTGTAGAGACGGGGGTCTCATTATGTTACCTAGGCTGGTCTCAAACTCCTGGCCTCAAGCAATCCCCCAAAGAACTGGGGTTAGCGGTGTGAGCTAGTGTGCCTGGCTTCCTTTTAAAACAAAAACAAAAACAATTTGTTATGAGGATGAAATGAGACACAATGAAGGTAAGAGCAATCTAGTCCATGACCTGCTCAGTAAAGGTTTAAAGAATTTGAATAATGATTTCTTCACATAAATGGTTAGCTAATCCATACCTCTGTCCCCTGAGGGGAGAGAGGATGATAAGGGAGGTTGAGAAACATGTTCAGCACTTTGGGCTATGGTCATGCCAAGTCTAAGGCAGGGACAATACAACAAAGGTCACAGAATGAGGACTGTTTTCTGACATTTCCAACTCTACACTGGCTTTCTCGTCCAATAACACAGTATCTTGCCCATGTTACTGCGTCACCTTTGACCCTGGAGAAAGACCATAGGGTGCTGCTTCTGGCTGCCTTACCGTCATAATGAGCTTCTCCACACAGTCAGGTGCCACGCTGTGGAGGTGGGTGAGGTGCAGCTGGAGGTGGATCTTGTTGTTGAGCATGTCCTGGCACAGGGGGCAGCGAAGCATGGGTTGCACTGAGTGCTGCGTCATGGCATGCACCCGGAGCCGGTTGACGTCAGCATTATTGTACTTGCAGTAGGGACACTGGTACATCTGTGGGGAACACACCCACTGCTTTGAGCAACTGTGTATGCCCCCAAGTCCGCCCACCCAAAAGTTTGTTCCCTACCAATGTCTAAAACACCTCACCTCCCCACCAGCAGAGTCCCTTCCAGCCTCACCTGCTCCGGTTTGGTCTCCTCAGCTGTTTTTGGTCGCTTCGAAGAGAGGGGAGACTCTGAGCTACCTGGGAAGGAGATGCGTTTGGAGGTTGCAGGAGAATCTGTCAGCTCCTTCTCTGCTTGGCTGGACGATGCTAGAAGAGAAAGTAGAAGATGCAATACAGCAGCCAGACCAGGCCAGCTCCCAGAGGGTTTGTGTTGGGTGAAAATCAACATACATTTATAGCACAGGATTTTCTTAAAACACCACAATTCAAGAAGGATGAACATCCGGACTGATTTATCAAGCATGTTGGAAAAGAAGCAAGTGTTTCTTTCTCCCCCATGAATTTCTGTCACTACTTTAACAACTGAACATTAGGAAAAGAAGGCAAAGAAATGGAATAAAAGGCTCTGGAGTTGGATTAAGCTAAATTCAGTCTGTTCTAACCTCCCCCAATCTAGACACAATCTGCTGGCTTGTGGGGGGCAGTAGGGCTGAGGGTGGGTGGGAAAGTCTCACCAGCTGCTTTGCCAACCTCAGTACCAGACATGCTGTGCTTCAGAAATCTAAGAAGAGATGTGCTCTCAACTCTATTGTCCCTCCTCTTGGAATCACAACATGGTACAGCACCAGCAACATGAAAAATGTGATTTGAGAAAGGTTCACATGAATATCAGCACACCAAATATGTGGGGGGAAAAATCAAGTTTGGATTCAGCAGTCTGCTTTTGGGGAAGAATATAATTGAGAAGTGGAACTAGGCAGGGCCTGAATCCAGGATATAATCTAGCCAATGCTCCAGACCCAAGAGTTTATTCAGACTGGGTGGGAATAGGGAAAGTTTCCTATCAGCTTGCCCAAACCATGCCTCCACGCCCCTCTTGCCTATACCACCAAAAAACCAAACACTAATTAAAGAGGAGCGGCCCATGAGGATTGAGTAGCACACAGCATGTACAGAAGTGCTGGTGGAAGGAGTTCTCTGAAGGTTGGAAAGGAAACATTTCTTTACCTTCTCTATTGTTAACCCTGATCAGTAAGCATTAGGTTAGGATCAAGGTGTTTAGTTAGGAAAAACCTGCTATCTGCTCCTCCTTCCAGTAGAGGCAAACACTTTGATAAGAAAACAGCCAGGCTGAGGGTTTATCCAGGAAAAGCAAGGCTCCTCCAGTTTAAACACATTGTGGTTGGATCTGATTGTTCCATAACCTGGTCAATATCTGAGTGTTGGCTCTTTCATTTGTTTTGAATGTGGGACTCCATTTTTCAGAATTTTGCTTAAAGCAGTAAGAATAAAAGTGGTAGTGAGAAAATATACATACCCACTGCCCTCATGAAAAAATAATGTGACTCAGCATTCAGGTCACTGAATTAGAAAGCCCGATTTTTATTCCCTGTTAAACTGCTTTCTTTTTTACCCTGTCTAGTTATCTGTCATGTATTTCCATTTATGCTTGGGTTTGAAATTTGTTCTGATGTGGACACCAAGATGCTGTCATTACTTTAATAAACAATTTTAGAAAATCAATTTTATTCATTAAAATATAAGGCCACAATATAATTTTGAAAAGAAAAATTTGCCAGATGCAGGAAATATATTCCAGGAAGTTGATGCTCTTCCCAGAATGCACATATTGTGACCTTTAACCCCAGTATCTTGGTAACCTGGTCTACATAAGTTTGTAGGGCATCTATTATTTAAAAAGTACAAGGACAAGCATATTACACACAGATCCTCCTCCTCCCAACACACACATTCATAACAGTACTTTAATCTGTCTCGAATCGACTTCAAACCCATTTTGCTCTTAATGGGAGTTATTCATTTTCACTTGAAAGGTAATACATGACGGCTGGGTGTTTAACGTGATGGACTGGCTGCCGATTAACTAGGTGCTGTAACATTCTACACCAGTTCCCCCATGGCCCACTTCCCATCTCCTGGCCCCGCTCAGACCTGATCCTACGGAACGTTGCGTTGGCAGGTTTTAGACCTTGCAGTGCGATGGGCTGCTCCTGAACACGTCTACATTTGGAGTCTAATTAATGTTTTCAGGAACTTAAGTTCCCTTGCCCCCATAAACTTCCTTATTCTCCCTCATTTTGATTTTTGCTTGGTGGTTATCTTCTACATATTAACTCTTCAAATGTATTCTCAACATGGGGTGGGTGAGCACATCAAATAATACTTCCAATGTTTATTCATCACAGCCATTTCTTTACCTTCTCTACTGTGAACCCCAGTAGAGAACCCAATCAGTAGGCATTAGGTTATGTTCAGGGTATATATAGTTAGGAAAAAGCTGCTGTCTGCTCCTCCTTCCAGTAGAGGCAAACTAAGACATAGATTCTATTCCATACACCCATCCCCATCTTTTTGTTACTCTGCCTGACTAAAAACAACATCTGTTTTACAGGACTGTGACTGCCTTGTAAATGCCCTCAATCTACCTGCCCCCCTACTATGGAATGAGTCAATTGTGCACTTGCTCAATAGTGTGGATGAATGGGCACCGAGGTGAGACCACCCAACTCATCTCTCTCTCCCAGAGCTGAAAAGCAAACACAGTAACCCAGTGCAGCATTAGTTTCCTCATAGGACCAAAGAGTCCATCCTCTTCCTTGAATGCTGAACACATGATGAATTGTGGTGAGGTTGCAGAGGTGAGAAATCTGGTTTCAGAAGCCACTATTCTTTCCCCCTGCATGGAGAGGGGAACTTCTTTTTTTTTTTTTTTTTTTTTTTAACTCAAACTGCTCTGGAATTCTAAAGCTTCTTTTGTGAGCTTGAGCTAAGGACCATTATAAAGTGTTTTAAAAAATAAAATCACCACTTGCTCACTCATTTCTCTTTCTTCCCAGTAATACAACAGCCCTGCTTTAACATGAAATGCTGCATCCACTGGTGCACAAACTTCAGGTTCATCTCCTTTCTATCTAGGACAATCTTCATCTTTATTAGATCAAATCTGTCTGGAAGTGGACATTAGCCACCTGCAGCTCACTGGCCCCTTCTCTAAAGATAAAGCAATGCCATTCTTATAACAGATTCTATAAACATCCAGTTACAATCTCATTGTGTTTCCCTGAGTGATGTGGGAATGGCTCGTAAGAGTTAACTATGGCTGACCCATGCCCCTCCCTTAATTGACCTTAGACATTAAAATGTCAATCCCTATAATGACATGGTACCAAAGTCGTTACAACATTTCTGTTGATGGGCAAACAGTTGTGCAAGTTCTGGTCAGGTGCTGTGGCTCACGCCTGTAATCCTAGCACTTTGGGAGGCTGAGGTGGGCAGATTACTTGAGCCCAAGGAGTTCAAGACCAGCCTGGGCAACATGGTGAAACTCCATCTCTACAAAAATTAGCCAGGTGTGGTGGTGGGTGCCTGTAGTCCTAGCTACTCAGGAGACTGAGGTGGGAGTATCACCTGAGCCTGGGAGGTTGAGGCTGTGGTGAGCCATGATTGTGCCACTGCATTCCAGCCTGGGTGACAGAATAAGACTGTCTCAAAAAAAAAAAAAAAAAAAAAGAAAAAAAAAGTTTTGCAAGTTCTCTATCAACATGCTAGATGAGAGTTTATCACAGGCCACAGTCAGAAGTTCTCTCAAGTTTCTTCTCTCTGAACAACTTCAAAAGGGCCAGAGTCTCAGAATCAATTTCTACGTCAGTTCTGTCACTAGCATACATCATAGGCATAAGTAAATGAAGCTGATGAATACCAAGAGAGAAAGTACTGTGGTTTCCCACTTTGAAGGCTTTTCTAAACTTAAAGTCTAGAAGACATGTCACAATATACAAAACACTCTAAAAAATCAATTACTGGTCACTTTAAGCCTGCTATGATGTCACATAAGTGAAATAGAAATACATGCACTCCAGAGACAAGACACAGTTCAGACAATTGCTGCCTGGAACGTTTGGTTTATACTGGCAACAAAAAAACAAACAACTTGAAGTGTTAGTAACTGTACTGGTTTGTACAATAATGACAAAATGATTTGGAAACAATCTAGATATCTTACAATAGGGCATGGTGTAAGTAAACAATGGTACAGCCATTCTACTGAGTATTAGAAGACATTAAAACTGACTACTATGAAGCAATATGGAAAAATCATTGAGAATGCACATCAGAAAAGAAGATAAAATGTGTACTATCTCATGTTACAGCTATGTAAAAAGCAGGTATTAGAAAAAATGACTAGAATGATCATTGTCTTTAGGTGATGACATCAAGGACCACTTTATAAGTTTTTCACAGTCATTTCATTTTTAATATTATAGTTATCAGTTAAGTTCAACCGTCCATGAAAAAGTTGGTATTGGCTCTATACTGTGCAAAACATCAGATGGTATTTTTTACTTTGCGGGTAAAAGCAATTTCTCTCATTTTGGCAGCTATAAAATATGAAAATATGTGTTAAATCTCAGAGAATCTTCCACAGGCAACATTTTGGGCTCCTGGGATTTCAAAGGGGATAAAAATGTGGTAAGGAATCATGCGACTGAATGCACTATAGATGACAAACTCTATCAAGCTAGGAAAATGGGATATTGTGACAACGAAATGTTGGGTCAAACTCCTACTCAAACTTAACCGGATGTGCTCGCTATGGATTCTATGCCACACAGACTTTCTAGGGAGTGAGAAAGCACTTGCTCTGCTTGTTAGTGTTACGGTGGCCCTACCCTGTGCGCTGACGAGGCACAGGAAAGACTAGCATGTCCCTGTTATGGAGTTCAAAAATTCAAAAGTCGGCTTTCTGGGCCAACAGTCACCACTTCTCCTCATACTGTGATGAGTTGGCCAACTAAAACTCACAAAGACAAATACTGAGAGAGACAAACCTGTTCATGATTGTCTATTTTATCCTCTTGGGCTCCTCTGCATTCTAGGCAAAAGTATTTCATTTCAAAGGGAGGCACAGTTGTCAATACATGGCTCCCTTAGGGGGAAAATCATTTATGCATGGAGACACCAACTTCCAGATATCCTTTGATTTTATCATATTTGTTTTAGAAGTATTTAACCTCTAAAAATAATTACTTCAAAAGTTACCCCCTACTCAAGCTAGTTAGAGGGAATAGGGAAGAGAGCTGATAAGCATTCATGCAAAGTTTTGTTTGAAATTTGCAAGAAATGGT